ATATATATATATATGATTCTACCAATTCGCCATAAAGTAAATTACAGATAGGTAGAAAAATCAAGTAATTTGTCATTAGCTGCAGGTCATGGCATTGTTAGAACATTGCAGCCCTTTCAAGAGTGCAGAGAGGGTAATTTCTATGGGCAGGCAGAGATGTCAATTACTCTTTTCCTGTTTGTCCAAGCCCAGATCACATTATTTGTCACAGCTTCCAGTTCTGAGACGGTTTGTAATAGGATGTTTTGTCTGCTGTGTGAGTAAAAACCATAGAGTCATTTCACATTTATATTAGCACATTTGCTGTCTTGGTGCCTCTAATAGGAAACGTTACAATCTCCATCATCTGTCTCCTGACAGAGGCCGAAAATGACTGTTGGTCATTACACAGTGAAACATGAGTTTGAAGATTGAGATCCTCAAGATTTGACTTTGGTCATTATGGGGCTGTCATGCATGGGAAGAAAACCCATAGTTCTTGGCTGTAAGGGACTCTGTGTGGTTTTGGACAGGATGTAAATAGTTTTTGTGTTGGTTATGACCAGTGGTGCTCAGTACAACATTGCACTGTTACTTTAAACCATTTTTCAACTCTTACTAAAGTTTTTGAGGTTTCCATTAGGTGCAGTTCTGATCTATGAAATAGCTTTGGATGGGTAACCATTTAGGGCTGTTGTCTGACTTACAAACGAGCTTCCGAGAGTTTCTCTTGCTTTTCAGTTTGTATCCAAAACATGTCACGTGCACAATGTGACTCACACTGACTAACATTACTGCCTGTTTCTTCCCTATGGTCATACTGTCCAGGTGGGAGTCTTACTCTGAACTCTTTCACCCTGGCATGTTGCTCACATCAATGAGCAAAATCCTGCTGGAACCTGCAGCACTAACTGCAAGTGAAGGTTAAGAGCATCAGGTTTCATATCTGGTTCACACAGTGTTTACTCCAGACTGCCCTTACAGGGCAGCTGAGGCAGAGTGGGCAGTTAAAGGTTACACCTTTAACAATCTCCTTTACCTTGCTTTAATAAAAGCAAATACCATAACATGCATTTTTAAAGGACCTAAACCTAAAACTAAGAAATTTGTCTAGGCTTTTGGTCCTGATGGTCGAGTGAATGTTGTGTTTGTGGAGAGTTTAGCACTGTTCACTCTCTGGATCTGGGAAAGTGATGCTCTGTTTTTTGTTGTTTGTTTCCTTTGAATGGCTTTGGACTTGCTAAGAAGCACAATGAGTCATTCATTTTTGACTAGTTGATTGATGACACTGCATGTGTGCACCATTGTCACAGAATATGGGATTTCTCTAGCCAACCATTCCCATTTGAAAATGCAATTTAATACCTGGGCTTTGCAAGAGGATGAAAGAAGTGAATATCGTAATTGCCTTTTGACCAAGCATAAAAACAGGAGGTTCCTTTTTTTAAAAAAAAGTACAGTGTTTATTTTCCTTGGACTGCTTTATCTTTTAAATATTAATAATAATATTTTAAAAAGTAGTTTTTACTCTGCCTTTGCTCCAGTAAAAAGAGCAAGGCTGTGGAACAGTCTGATTGTGGTATAACTTACACTTGCCTCAGGCCCCGTGCAATTTACACCTACTTTAAGCACCTGAATTTGAACAGGTAATAAGTATCTAAGTATTGTAAGTATCTAAGTACTGTAGAAAATGTATTATTTTGCAACATGATACATAATTCCTTCTGGCTGTGTTTTAGGAGATTTGGTTGTCAATCTGTGCAAACAGAGCAATAACTCAGTTTGCATTCTGAGCACAACAGGCAAAAGCAGCTTCTGGGAGGGCAGGGAAGAGGACAGGGGATAGGTTGTGCCAGCTGCGAATCCAGTGTGAAAACAGTAAACATGAGCTACTGAAACAAGCTGTGCTCCCAGTTGCTCTGAAATCCTCCTAAGTGAGCTCTAGCTAAACAAATATTTTGTTGTCTCAGACAGAAAAATGAAAACCTACCCAGCCATTGGTTTCTTCCTCCTCTTCGTGATCAGCTATGGCTCTTCAGAAAACTCCAGTACGCCTAGAGGGTGTGGACTGGATCTTCTGCCTCAGTATGTTTACCTGTGTGACCTGGATGCCATCTGGGGGATTGTTTTGGAGGCGGTGGCGGGGGCAGGTGTGCTGACCACACTCCTGCTGATGCTGATTTTGCTGGTGAGGCTGCCCTTCATCAAGGACAAAGAGAAGAAAAGCCCCCTGGGAATGCACTTCCTCTTTCTCTTTGGGACTCTGGGACTGTTTGGGCTGACGTTTGCTTTCATCATCCAAGAAGATGAAATGGTGTGCTCTACTCGAAGGTTCCTATGGGGAGTTATCTTTGCTTTGTGCTTCTCGTGCTTGCTAGCTCAAGCCTGGAGACTTCGCAGACTCGTTCGCCATGGGAAGAGTCCATCTGGCTGGCATCTAGCTGGGGTGGCAATCTGCCTGATGCTCGTTCAGGTCATTATCGCGACCGAGTGGTTAATCCTGACGATTGTCAGAGATAACAAGTTGGCCTGCAGCTACGAACCGATGGATTTTGCTATGGCTTCCATCTACGTTATGTTCCTGATGGTGTTTACCATGGGATTTTCGTTTTTCACTCTCTGTGGGAAGTTTAAGAAATGGAAGAAAAATGGAGTATGCCTCATTATAACCCTGTTTTTTTCCATTCTGATTTGGGTAGCCTGGATGACTATGTATCTCTTTGGTAATGCTGAGCTACAGAGAAGAGACAAATGGAGTGATCCCACTCTGGCTATTGCACTGGTGTCCAGTGGTTGGGTGTTTGTTATTTTTCATGCCATCCCAGAGGTCCACTGTACCATCCTTCCATCCCAGCAGGAAAACACTCCCAATTATTTTGATACTTCACAGCCAAGGATGCGTGAAACTGCTTTTGAGGAAGATATACAGCTTCCTCGGAGCTACATGGAAAATAAAGCCTTTTCAATGGATGAACATAATGCAGGTAAGAATTTGCTATAGAGGAATATGTTTCTCTGTAGTAGCCAAGAACAGTCTCTGTATGAGACGTTTTTCAGGTGTTCAACACAAAGGTCATTAGAAATGCCACATTTTGCACACTACATATTGTTCCCTTTCACAATTTTCTTTAAGATATCACCTAGTGAAGGGGAAAAAATGCAGAAAATACATGTGTTAGGTTAAAATGATTCTTCTGAATGTTAATTTTTTCTTTGAAAAACTGAACAATTTCAAATGCAAAGCCAACACTGAAATTCACAAAAAATTCACTGTGGGGAAAAACCCCTCTATTTTAAATAGTTTAAATTACTTTTTTTTGTATTAGCAATTAGCAACACTTAATACAAAATATTTATTCCCCAAAACCAAGAAGAAATTAAAGTGGTCTATGTTACAAAATGCTCAGCCTCTTGAGCAAGAAAATAATTATTATTAATTATACTTCCATTAAAATGGATTTAGTGCCACTTTGTGTCACTGTGGGGGAGAAAATGCCAAGTGGCTTACGGACAAGTTCAAAAGAGCCTTTGTTCTGAAGGCTTTAAGGTCTGAGGTTTCAGAGGTTTCGAGGTAATGGTTCCTTTCCTTGTTGTGGAACGATGTGTGATGACACATCATTAAAATCTGCAGCAAAAATTGTTATGAGTGATTTCTGAAAGGACCAGCAACAACTGGGGGCTTAAAAGATCCAGAGCACTGCTGAACACTTTAACCCCTGTTGTAAAAGCACAGGGATGTCTCTGTGAGCAGCATGGGAGGCAGGGCCCAGTGGTGTTCTGTGTGTGGGGCTGTTCCACAGTTGGATAAAGGATTTTGTTACTAGTCACACTGGTTTTTATTCACTCTAGTTGGGAAGAATACTGGCTTGGTATCCCAGCCAGTAGTTGCCACGTTGCTTTGGCAGTCCCCAAAAGGCTTTGAGGCATGTTGTCCAGGCACTTCACCTTCCTATTCATCTTAGTGTGTCTTTGATTTCCTCTGGGTTTAAACCAGACATGGAAGAAAATCACACTCTTGTTTGGCACAATATCAGGTCAGGAAGGCATTTTTTCTTAGTTTTTTAGTGGAATTTTGAAAGTCTCCTTTGAGTATGGAAGCTTTGAACAGAAAGGTGTTCAGTTCTGTGAGCAGATACCACAAGGGCAGTGATAAAAGAGAAAAATCAGATGAATAAAAGAATTGTTGCTATTACTAATGTTGGAGCAACAGAGGCAGCTGCACTATGGACTGTTAAAAACATTCTTGTGTTTGTTTTTCTTGGTTGTTTTTTCACTGTCCTACATCCCCCACTAAACTAATGTCATCGTAAGGTAGCTGCAGTGACTTCAGTGCAGCTTGTTCTGACTAAGACAGATCTGAGAACAAAATTGGATCTTTGAGTCTGTGTCACTCCCATTCATGCATACACTTTAAGAAAAGAACTGGAAGCTCCTTTTTGATCTAATCATTCAGTAATTAAGTTTCTTAGTGAAATGGATAGATGTATGATAGCTGTAAAATCATTATGGTGTCTATTATAGTGCAATTTATGTTCTGTTTTAATCTATCTGAATCTCAGTACAATACAAAACAGATTTCCTTATCTGATGTCCTTATTAATATTAATCATAATAAATGCCTGTCATTCATATTCCCATGGCATGTGGGAATTTTTAATAAATCAACACAGAATCATGAGGTTCCTTTGCAGCAGTTCTGTAAGCACAGATTTGGGACAACAGGGTTTGGAGACAAAACTTAATAGGATGGTAGAGGCTGAAAGGAAATACAGGCAACAATAATTGAGTCATGTAGTGTGCTTGGTGAAATGTCAGTTGAAGTCAGATCACTGAGCTGATGGTTGTCAGTGGCAAAGCACCTGGAGTCTAGTAGTAATTGGCTCTCTGCAGGTATGTGGAGATTGTTCTCTTCTTTCATCCACTTAATTAACCTCAATTTGAAAATGCATTGTTAAGAGTTAAGAAATTAATGGAAACGTACTTTCTTCAATTGCACTTAAGAATGATGTTTAAGAATGGAAGATCTACCAGTTGTGAAATTCTGGGAGATGATAACCAGAAAACACCTCTCAGTTCCCTGACTGTAATACTTGTGTCAGTAAGTAGTTAGCTTTAAATGGAAAACTAGCCTGGATAAACACATTTTCATAGAATCATAGAATTTAGGGGATGGAATGGACCTTACAGATAATCTAGTCCCTGGGCAACCTGTGCCAGTGTCTCACCACCCTCACAGTAAAACACTTTTTTTCCAATATCTAATATTTCCACTCATACTTGTATAAAGCAATTTCAGAATTTTGCTTTTTTTTAAAAGATTTTAGCATTTTAAGAATCTGAACAACCTTTAAACTATAGGTTCAAACCAGCATATATTCTCTTAGTTTCCTTCTCTCTCAGCTAAAATGTAGCTTCATATTACACATCACAAGAGCTGTTCTATGCCAGGTATAACACTAAGCATTAATAAAGCAAAGCTATTTTAAAATCAGTAATTTAAACATCATTTAAGCAGCATACTAATCTGGGATTTTAATATTCATGTGATAGGTTGAAATATCTATTTAAAAGAGTTATTTTCATAGCTGTGTCTTATAAAAATGTCTGTAAAGGATTTGGAAACCCTGGACAAAGGCCACTTGACTGAGGTCTCAGTGCTCTCTGGAGTGCAGTGCACACTAGAAGGGCAAATTCTGTAGGCAAAGAGAATTTGCCTTATACAGGAAAAATCTGGATGTGAAATGGAGAATGCTACAGCTGTCAGGAAACCCAAGCCTAAGCAGCTCCAGTACTCACTGAGTATCAGTTAATAACTTTTCATACTACAAGTCACTGTCACAGCCAATGCCTAAAAGCACAGTTAACAAAATAAAATATGTGTTAAAAGGAAACTTTGACACATTTGCTCAAATCTTCTTGGCACTGCTTGTTTTTTTACCTATACCTACCCTATACAAGGGAATGTATTTAACAGTAATGGACGAAGTACCAGGAAAAATGGTAAAACTGGTACGAGGAAAGAATTCCAAAGTGAGTATTTGTCTCTAAGCTTTAGCACAGATTGTCCCATTAAAACACTTTTAGACTGTTTGCAATAATAGGGAAGGAATATTTACCAGTATGAAATTGAATTTACTGGAGCTTTAAGATAACTTTGAAGTGACCCTGGATATTTTGTGTAAATATTTTGTGTAAATGTGTAAATATTTTAATGATTGTATGTATTATAATGGTTGAGGTTGTTTTCTTTGTGTGGACTAGCAAATACCAGTGCAATGACAAGAAGTAGTCAAACAACAAGAAAAAATGCTACTTACCCTGAGATGGTTAAATATAAAATAAAAAAGACTTATTCTAGTTTAGGCATTTCCATCACTTGTTCTCCCAGTGTTCTGCAAAAATATGTTATTTTTAAATAGAGAGCAGGTGAGAGTGTGTATGTATCTAAGTCAACAACTGAGCATTTGCAGGGTGGAATGTCTGAATTTCCATGCTAAATCGATACCTTTCTTCACCTTGGTGCACAACTCCCAGAGAGGAGTAGCAGGGGATAGAGGACAGCATGTGGCAGTAGGATCCATTTAACTCTTGTTCTGCGCAGAGCAACTGTATAAAATCCTGATTTCATTAAAGTCTGTGCTGAAACTCTTGTAAACCTCAGTTCATTCAAGTTTTCAGCCAGAGAGCACAGAATTTGAATTAAAAAAAGCCTGAATTAAATCTAAAGGCAATTCTTGCCCCAGGTGCCTGCACTGCTGGGCATGTTTCTGTGTCCCAGCTGACGGATGAGTGTCGCCTGCTGTAACCAAGCAGGGATAAATGAGCTCTGTTCCCTGGCCACGTCTGAATTCAGTGGAACCATTATTTACCCCTGAGACTAAAGAGGGAGTTTGTATGTGCCAATCCCCAGGCTGGTTCAGAGAGAAAGCAGCATATCCCTCGCTCTGCATGTCACTCAGAATACACATCTTGAACCCCAACTTGTGCTAAAATTAATGAGGAGACTGATGTATTTCTGGTATAAATGTTCAGAAGGACAGTCAGTGTCTTCTCTTTTGTTTCAGTCATTTGCCATGTTTAAGCTATCCAAAAGCAATATTTACTCCATCTTTCTAGTGTCTCAGAGTAAATATAATCTGAAACATCTGGAAAATCCTTATATGCTAGTCATGCTGAAGTAATGCTCAGGGGGCTGTGAGCATGCTTACTGGCTCGAGCAATGCTTTGGATCCCTGTCCACTGAATCTGATAGAAGGCAAAATGTAAAACATTTTACTTAACCCCACAGTATCCAAACCAGCACAGTAAGCACTTTGCAAAGTGCATTGTGTAAGATACATCACAGGTTTAGTGACTGAAGACATTGAGCTCCCACTGAAAAGGGACTTAAGCAAGCTTCAAAAATTTGGTCCCATTCATTTCTTTTTGCCATTCCACAGCAAACAGTTAATTTTATGTATATCTGGTTCTTCTGAGATCCATTCCCAACTATACAAGAGAAACAGCTGTTCAAAAGCAATGTGAAAACTGGCGTGGCAACATGAAAGTTAAAACCGGTGGCAAAGTTCCAGTAACTAAAGTGGAAGGAAGATACTTTGTGATTTCACAGCTTTAATTGTGTTCTAAGAGTGATCTCTCTTTTCCAAACACAGCACTAAGAACGGCAGGATTTCGAAACGGCAGTTTGGGAAGCCGACCTAGTGCTCCTTTTAGAAGCAATGTTTATCAGCCAACTGAGATGGCAGTTGTGCTAAATGGTGGGACTGTAAGTATCAAAATGTGACGATTTAAGCAATCTTTGATATGCCCTGATATATACAGCCACTGCTAATTGAAAAAAACTGCTTTTAGCTTATTCACAGCAGGGGGAAAGCTATAAATGAAAATCTGGGCAGCAAGTATGCATGTAATGCTTCCCTTCCCTCTAGAAAAATATGTAACTACAAAGTATTTTGCATTTCTTTACTTGGCCATTCACATTTTGCACTGCAGCTTGAGTGAACCGAGTTCCTTTGTGAGATTACATATTCAATGGCCCTTTCAAATTAAATTTGTGTTAAGGTATTTAACATAACTATTAAGTGACACCATTTCTAACCTGATTTTTTCAAGACTATGTGAGTCATGCAAATGTTTACAGGCCAGTACATTACATTTAAATCAGAAAAATTGTGGCAGATAGTCTCTCCAGTATCTTCCATTTTCTTGTACAATGTATGTAATTCTTTGTAACTTACAGATTTGTACATTTCTTGAACAGGGAGTCATAAAAAAAAGGAATATAGAATATTTTAATGTTAATTACATCCATTTTTCTTCCTCAGACAATAGTTTGGCATGCCATTTTTTGATAGACCTGTTTTTGTGCAGCCTCGTTGCTAGTAAGAATGGCTTAGTGAACTGATGCCAAACAGACTTTCTAAATGTTTTTCACATGATGTGTAATTTGCACTTAAGACATTTCATATAGCAGGCATACTGTTGAAAAAGAAGAATTTTCATCCCCACATTTTTCATGCATACCTACATGCTTCTTAAAAATCTACTCATGAGCCAGTTTATACTCATGTGAGTTGGGTTTTCTTTCGTTTGAATCATGAGCTGATTCCATAACTCAACCTCTACATTTAAAATGGAATAATGTGAACTGATTGCAGGGCTGGTTTTGTTTTTAAATAAGTAAAGTTTTGGTTAATTGTAGTGAAAAAGAGGGACTAGATACAAGAATTCTCCTGTGTGGGTAAGACAGTGTGAAACATGTCAACTTGAGTCAAATGAAAAGGCTTTGCTTTGCTGTCAGTAATGAATAGCATCCTTCTGATGTTTGGTTTCATCTCTGCCTGTTTTCTGACACCAGGATATGCAGCTCAGGGAAAAGGCAGTTTAAGGATGAGAAGCCAGGGAATTTGGTTTGGGGATTGTTTTGTTTGTTTTGCTTTGTTCCGAGGTGGATACAAAGCTCAATGGAGAACATCAGACAGTAAACCAAGAGATTAATGTGTACATATAGTCATGGTTTTTACAGAGAGGTAAATGCACTGTATGGGTGGAAGATAAGTGTCTTTGTATCGCTTTGCTCTAGAACTGCTATGTGGAAAGCTGTCATGTACATGCTAACACTGATTTTTGAACAGTCTAGATCTCTCAGTTATGGGTTTATTATCCTTATTTCCAGATACCAACTGCTCCGCCAAGTTACACTGGACGACACCTCTGGTGAAAGACTGTAGGCTGTAGAGAATAAGAATCCTTGTTGCAGATGTTGTTCCCTGGCAGTGTGTCTTTGAGGGAAGGAATCCATAACAGTACCAGAACAAAGCAACAAAACATCCAGGATCTTTTGAAATCCTACAGAGGATTTTGTCTAAATGTGAACACCATTGAACTGAGAATGCAAAAACAAAACTGTAAAACTGAATCTAATTTAAAATAGAAGTAGGCACACCTTAAATTGGAACAGGGGATGTTGTATTCTGAAATGTAACATATTCTCTTGTCTGTACCTTGTGTGCCAGGCAAGCCTGTTTTTGGTGGTTGCCAGTTGCTTGCAAAATACCCTCCTCTCACCTAAACTTAATTCATGTTGCCACAAGAGATTGCCACTACAGTGTGAAAACATGCAGGATTTCTTTCCATTTTTCTCCTTTCCCCTTCATTTCAAACATCATGAGAAGTACCTTGTTGGCTCATTAGCTGTACTGTACAGTCACGTAGCATCATGTGTAGCCAAGCATCGTCACTCTGTGGCAACTAAATTCCCATTACACCGTAGGCTGATACGCTGCTCTTCAAAAAGCTGGTCTAGGAGATGCAGTTCTGGAGGGGTGAAAGGTCTGTGTATGTTACATGTGAGTTATGGAGCTTCTTGAGGCAGAGAGGACAAGCACAGGTCCAGTGCAGCTCTCCTTGGCCGCGTGGGATCCATTCCCCAGAGTTCCAGCCTCAAGCCCCAGGTGTGAGCAGAGCTCATTCCCACGTCTCCTGCAGGCCAAGCCGTTCAGTGAAGCCTTGGAGGGATGTACTTTTGCAAAGACTTAGCTGGGAGAGGAAGTGAGTGGGTTTTGCAGCAGCAGTTGGTTGTGCTGGTGGAGGCCCCCACGGCCCTGCCCCAGCAGCCTGGTGTGTGTGGGGCAGCTGAGGAGCACTGACCACCTTGCGGAGACACTCAGCAGCAGAGAGGGTCGAGACCTCCCTTTCTAATCCCTGTTCGTACGAGTAGTCCCCTTGACTGCAGTTGTTTGTGCATTTAAATGTGGTTGTGCATTTTAGTGCCTAGAGAGTAGACTCTCCGTGCTGGAGGTGGTTTGTTGTTGTTTCTGTTTATTTAAGGTGGTTTCTTCCCTTATTCCTCCCCTCCCCATCAATTTTCTTGAGTTGATAGAAGGCTGACTTTCTCAAAAGCTTTTTATTTTTGTTTTCTCAGGTTATTTAAAAGGTTCCCATTGCCCATTTTTTTGTGCCATGGTTTTTCATTATGTTGAAGCAATCATTCCTTTCTTTAACATTTAACACATATCGGACATTGAAAACATAATTGTATCCTCACTGTTTGGCCAACGTTAATCTTAGCTTTCCTCAATACTAAAAGCTAATTGTTTTTACTTGAAGGCGTAGGAAACATATAACAATTAAACTTTGCATATGCTGTAATAAAAATATATATTTTCAAACTAAAAAGAATAAAATGTACAAATAACTGAATAGCTCAGTAGCTTCACAGAAAGGAGTTACTTGCTGTATACTGCAAAAGAAAGACAAGCTTTTTATTTTTCAAGAGTCTTCCTGATTCTTCATGTACCTCCATTTCTACTGAATTAGGAACCTAGTCCTGCAGACTTGTACTCCCACGAGTAGTCCCAGTGACACCAGTAGGTCTACACACAGGTACAGAGGCTGCAAGACCAGTCCCTAAGTGTTGCACACAGATATATGTATATAGATATATGGGAAAATATATATTGCCATTCTTGCCATGATCATCTTATGGGGTTTTATTTTAAAGCCCTTCTCCTCCAGAAGCAATGTTTTTCTGTCATGCATGAGTAAAGGAGTATGTTAGCTCCCCCCTGCCCTTCCCTCCTCGAGGCAAAGGAAGCATGTGCTTGTTTTAGGGATGTTTGTTTTCTTTTGTATGTAACTCGACGGCCTTAGTAACCAAGTAGGGTAGGGGTGGATATTGCATGCTATCCAGTGACTTAGAAATACATTTTGCTTGTTTTAAGCAGAGCTTTGATCAAATAAGATAGTATTGAAGGTAATGATAGCTACCCAGAAGATTCATAATTCGGAACACTAAAAATCCTATTACCATCACTTGCCTGCAGAATTTTGTTTTTGAAAAACCAACTAAAAAAAAACCCTCATAAAATTCTATCATAAAAACATATAAGATGACCATGGCATAAATGGTAGGACAGCTTTCTTTTAAAAAGTTTATCATGCTACAACCAAGATTTATGAATTATAAAACACATTTTGCAGACCTTGGACAAAATCTGTACAAGATATAGTTCTATTAAACATTTTTTTTCTTTTTCTAGATGTGACTGAATTGATAAATAGAATTCCCAATCCTGCTTCTGAGGAAGTTGTTTGGAATTTGAGGCCTTATGCAAAGATATGGCCAGATCTTATAAACTGTTCCTCACATGACTAGTCTCACTGGGTTAGTCATGTGGCCTAGTCACAGAATTAAAAACTAGCAGGATTGGGTTTAATGTGTGGTGGTGAAGGTGTGGCAAATAGATTAGGAGGGTCTTTATTTTCCAACTTTATACAATTAGTAATAAGCAACATTTTTTTTGGAAGTTCACTAGTCTGTGATGTAAAATGCCCCAAATAAAACTGTAATTGAAGAAAGGCACCTTTATGTTAACTTATATTTTTGTTACAGTATTTACTTTTGCCTTTTTTGAAAGTTTTCTAGAATGTAGAGCATCTGTGAACAACATAAGAAGTAAGTAAGCACAAGCCTTTCACAGTTCACTTAATGATAATTAGCTTTTATACTATAAAAGCTACTATGTTGTCCCTTGATGGTTATGTGCTCATGGTGTTTCCATGCAGAAAAATGAAATCACAAAACATCTGAAAAAAAACCCTAATACCAAAACAAGATTTATGATGCCTGGCTTTTGATCAATGGCTGGAAAAGAGTTCAAAGCCATCCTTTACTGATCCTGTCCTGCTTTCAGATGAGTTGAGGGTGTTTGACACTTGCCAGAAAATATGTAGCATCTTCAGAAGAACACTCTCAATACATACACTTGTTTCTCTAAACAAGGTACACTAAATACTACAGAACTAGCTGTTTCTGCTTTTAGCCTAAACACAGGCATCGTGGTGGGCTTTGTTGGAGCTCGATGCCTTGGGTCTAACCAAAGGCCATACAAAAGGGAGCATTGTAGCTTTTATAATAAACCAATTGGACTATTCTACCAACTTACTGGATTACAAAGCAGGTGCTTTTTATTAATTGATGAGAGCTAAAGCTCATTTTTGATAGATAATATATATTTATTAAATGTATTAACGTGTGTTTTATAACGTACCCTTTTTTTCCTCTGATTGTTGCATACTGGTATCTTATTAAGTACATCTTTGAAGGATTTTCAAGACAATCAATGTGTACCATGATGACTGTACATAAGTATACAAAACTACAAAGGTTGTAAAGCATGGGCAAATGTTTTATTTTCAAAATGCTGTTCTTAACGAGAATAAAGGCTTTACTATTTACTTACAATGTTTGTATTAGCTTGATGTTAAAATCCACCTAAACTGTTGCCATTACAGTGAATTTACAATGCTACAGACAGCATTGTCCTTTGGTGCAGTTCTTCAGCTGAGTTAAACTGAAGGAAACTATCTCCTAGAGGCTAGGGCCACCCACATTCCTCCACCTTTGGCCACATTCCCATGCTAACCCTTAGCTCTGGCACCTATCGAACCCACAGTGAGCCAGAGCAGGAGCCTGAGCAGCCAAACTCTTAACACACAAGTGATTTCTGTTTTTTCCAATTGGCTCAGCAGTTTCCTGTCCTGGCTCAATTGCTTGTGCTTGTGAAAAGGAGGGCTAGAATCACACAGCTGGGGTTGAAGACTGCAGGTTGAGAGTTTTTTTCTTCAAATGGTTTGATTTTTCCAGATCTGGTGCAACAACCATTGTCACTAGCCAGGCAAAAAAATGAGGGGTGGGTATAACAGCAAAGACAAAGACTGTTTAAGTGCTGGAAGAAATCCATCTGGAGCCACAGCAAGAGCTGGAGAGTGTCCATGTTTTATCACGTGTTCATTCAAAACAACTATACCTTTGACTTCTATGGAATTAGTAGCAGAACTGCAAATATCTTCTCTAATTGTGAAATTATAAAGGCCTAAATAGGACTATGCTTGAGAAGACTAAGTTAAAAACATAATGAGGGTTTAGCAGGGCCCAGTCTGATTTTTACTGTGCTGGTACCTCATACAAGTAAGTACCATACACAAGATTGCTGAAAATGCTATCAGTGAGATCTTAATTGTACACTTCCCAGCACATGTGCTAAAGGGTAACAAAAGGGCCTTTGACTTTGTTCCCCTGCAGAAATGTAGAGCAACCTCAGCTCTCATTGCCTTCCATTGGAATTGCTGGGCAACAGTGTTTCTGCAAATTAAACCATTCTGAACAGAGCCTGGATTTGTGTAAATTGTCACAGCTCTGCAGGAGTCAGTGAAGCTACTCCAGTTTATGCTCAGTGAAGAGTTTTGCCTTATCTGTAACACTTGCCTACATGTGGGTGTAACCCTATTTATTTCACCCAAGGTTTTGTTCCTGTCGGAAAAGGTTTTAAGTGAGCATTCAGGAACATAAGATAAACACAGACTCAACATTTTTTGCTAGGTGTGCCCAATTCCATCTGTTTTAACAGAATTGTGCTCACTTAGACTAGGACTGAATTCAGTCTTGGCGTGCTGAGTCCTTACATAATCTGCCTTTGATTTCCAGCACCTCACTTGTAAAACTAAAAACTGTAATGCTCAGAGTTTCTAAATCAATATCACAAAGTTTAGTCCATGAGCTCTGTGTTTTGCAGTGCTGGTGAGGAAACTAAAATTGAAATGATGAATCATTTTGTGTCGGTTCTTCCGAATCTTCCAATTCACTTCCCACTGCAACCATACAAAAAAAAAAAAAACAAACAACAAAACATTAACAGGCACAGAAACAAAAAAGGAAAC